CAAGAGGACTTGTATAATCACGATTATACTGCAGGTAAGTGTACCTTTGCATAATCATTAATTTTGTGTGTCTGTGCCATAAGCAGCAAAAGTCTATTTCTAGTGTTGTTGTAAAATGCATTTCAAACCAGGCTGGTTTTTGATTTACGTTTTGGAATAGAATTTGGAGAGGGCGTTTGATCAAGTTAGACCTACCTTTTGAATTTGAATTACATTTTAAAGAAATTAGAACTACATTTTGGAAAATTTGAACTACGTTTTCAAAAATTAGAACTTCATTTTGGGAAACTAGATCTACATTTTGAAAAATTTACGCCTACGTTTTGATAAATTAGACATTGAATTTTGTAATTACATTTGGATTTTAACATGGACTTTTGCTGCGTATGGCACCCCATACTTATACACCAAATATTTGTAATTATTACCTATAAAAATATAAATAATTATGATTTTTTTACTCTACAGAACAAAACTCGATTGAAGGTAAGGTATTTACTGATTATTTTATTTTCACCTAGCTTAATTTTTTCCTTATTAATCTTCACACACCCATAATAATGTTTTGTTAATGCTTATACATCAACTATTGTAATTATTTGCTTTTTAAAATTTCTTTTTTGTTACAAACATAATTTTTTTTCTTCTCATTTGTTGGTTTTGAATCAATTAAGCGTTAAATTATCAAACTTTGTTTATAATTTGAAATATATTTTTTTATTTTTTTATACGCATACAGAAAACCAAAGCGAAGGAAGAAATGTGGCAATTGAGGGTAAGGGCTTGACTCATTATTATTGATGCTATTTGAAAGTTATCAATAATAATAACTGAGATATATATATATATATTTTTTACATTTTTTAAAATTAAAAAAAAAATTTTTTTTTTTTCAAAATGTCCAACTCAAAGAGCTCAATCACCAAGCGCATAGAGGCTTTTTCGCATGATGCGCTCTACAAATCCAACTATTATTATTATATTTAATTTAATTGTGAACATTTTTTTTTATTTTACAGATAACCTAAAACTGAAGAAGCTTAAAATAATTCTATCAAAAACAATTTCAATAAATGACCTACTAAAAATGGGAATTACAAAAATTAATTTGAGGGTAAGGACTTGACTCGTTATTAGTTGATGCTATTGCAAAGTTGTCAATAATAATAACTGAGATATATATATATATATTTCATTTAATTGTGAACATTTTTTATTTTATTTTACAGATGACCTAAAACTGATTAATTCTGAAGAACAAGTTCAATAAATAACCTACAAAAAATGGGAATTAACAAAAATTAATTAGTTTTAAATGCGCTTATATATACATTTAAGAAAATAACAATTTTATGTTAAAAAAATTTAAATTGGACAAAATATTTCATGTTAATTTTGAATCAAAATCTGAAGAAGGTTCAAGTAATTCTCTCAAGAACAAGTTCAATAAATAACCTACAAAAAATGGGAATTACCAAAAATTAATTTATTTTAAATGCTTATATATATACATTTAAGAAAATAACAATTTTATGTTAAAACATTTAAATTGGACAAAATATTTTATGTTAATTCTGAATCAAGACGAATAATCAGAGAAGAGGGCTTGCTTGTAGGTAAGTGAAAAAAAGTCCAGTTTCAGAGAAGAGTGCCTCCTTGTAGCTTAGAAAAATTAATCATTTTTCTACCGATTTTTTGATGAGCATAATTATAATTCTGTCCAATGAACAATAAGAATGAACGACCTTGAGGTATAGGTGTTCCTTGTACCAAAAAGTTTATTTGATGGAAAACTATGGAGCGGTTAATGTATTATTGATTTTTGAATGGAAGAGGAGGTATAAAGGGGCGTAACCACCACTTTTCCCCAGTTTTTAAATATCTATTTCGTTAACCGTGTCTGAGTTTTTCGTCGCACATTTCGTGTCTTAGAAAAATCAGTATTTCAACAATTTTTTATCCTCCGAAGCCAGCCTTTAATCTAATCATGTACAACCATTAGATATAGTTAACACCTCTCTACTTTAAATTATTTAATCTATTTATAACGACCAGGACAGTGCCAGTGATGATAATGATGATGATGATGACGATGATGATTGATGATGATGATGATGATGTTGTTTCCTATTTTGTATTTTGCAGGTGGTAGCAGTGGATCAATCCTTGCAGGTGCCTTACACTTCGCAAAGGATTTAAAACCTGATGAGAGGTGTGTCGTTATATTGCCAGATTCTATCAGAAACTACATGTAAGTTAAGCCCCGCCCAGACTCTCAAATTTTGTTTGACAAAAACATGTGACATGCCTAAATATGGTCATGATGACATCACATCATGACCATATATAGGCACATCATGACTATATATGGGCATACAACAGTTTTCTGTCGAAGAAAATTTTATACTGTGGATCCAGAGCTTTAAACAACTATCAGCTGCGGCTTTTGTTTTGGTTCATTTATTTGATTAAAAGATGACCGATTTTAAATACAAGTGCTCTGTTTAAATCAGAATGAGCAGTAAATTGATTCTTCATAGTCGTATCAATATACCTGTAACAATTTGTTACATTAATTTCAGTGACATAGGGAATTGCAGTGCAGAGTACTTGTGCCCAGGGCTATTATAAGGCCCATTCAAAAATAGGCCTAAAAATAATGATTGAAGATAATTTTCAACCTAAAATTTTTGAATAAAAATAAATGGCCAGCGTCCGCTCAATAATATTTAGATATTTGGAGGAGTAATAATTTATTGATAACTGTGTTAATTTCAACTCAGTGGTAGTCTTCAAGTGGCCCCAGTTGTCCCCTAAATTTTTCAGATATAAACAAAATTGGGAAAAAAGAAAATTCTATTCGAATTTCTGGGCATCTACGGTAGATGTGCCATAATCATAAATTTTCTTACCTCAGCCCCAACCATTGTGAGGCTGAGGTGGTCTAGAAAAAGCCTAAAAAAAAGAAAAAACTTCTGAAAATAAAAACTTGAAATCAGTATACTTTTATATATAAAATTCTGCTCCTGAAAATTAAAAATTTTTGGGAATTGCCTACCCCCCCAAGGGCAATTGACAGCTCCCATCACATCCCCACCCGTGCTTCACATTAAAGGGTTCTTGCCTAGCTACGCTGCTGATTATGTTAAATTTTTTTTTATTTATTCATTTTTTTTGCAGATTTTTGTAAAAGTGTGAATTGGTGGTACTATACTGTTTTCTGTCATTTATTTTATTTACTTTAATTTTAAATAATGTTTTTGTTTAATTTGTTAACAGGAGCAAGTTCTTGTCTGATGGATGGATGGAGGAAAGAGGGTATTTGTAAACAATCAAAAATCAATTATCTTTTTTTTCCCTTTCAGTAAATGCTAAACATGTCAATATCTTGTTTAATGACTATGTTACATAAACTTGTTTTTATATTTCTAATATTAGGCATAATGTGGCATGATTAAAATTGATAATGTTTCAATATTCGTTCTTCATATTTTGTCTTCTTAGTTTGATAGATATAAAAATATGTTTTTTATAAGTACTTGGAATTTGTGTGTATGAAAACCACTAGATCCAGATACTATTATCGTGTGTGTGTGTGTATATGCTTACCACTGATGACAAACTAGTTTTGTTGCTCTCTCTGGCTGTTTACTTTTTAGCTTTTGGTTATCAATTCTTGTATTGCAAATGATGCAGCTATTATTTCCTACAGCAAACCAACACCATCAGTATAATTTTGTTCTATGTAAGTTAAGGTGTTAAAAGTTTTGTTATGGTGTATTTAATTTAATTGTTTGATTTTTTTCTGTTAAGTGTGATTGCACCGTGTGCTGCCGCTAATGCAAAGGTAAAATGTCATTTTTATAAACAATGTAGGGGAAAATTCTGTTTTATGTTAAAAATATTTGTGATGTGCCTAATGGGTGGTTATGATGAAGATCAGAAAGATCCAAAATTGGCCTAAAACTATTTGCCTTTCATTTAAAAAGGTGTTTTTTTTTTTATATATCATAAGGTCACTTAGACATCCTAATTATATATATTTGTACAAATACAGCAGGTTTGAAGTCTAGTTTTCCAAAGGCAGTTTTGATATTAGCCTATGTTATGCTTCTTACTGTATGTAAACACCAAAGGCAGCTTTGAATATTATGTTCATCTTACTGTGTGTAAACACTGCCCTCTGGGTTTAGATGACATACTTTCAGTAAACAAACCAAAACAAGTTGACTAATAATAGGTGTAACTGTATTCTTTAATATTTTTTTCTTTATTTTTTTTTAACATCTAGAAATTCAAAATAGAGGGGACCCAGGGAGGAATGTTTACAGATTGGAGACCTTAACCACATTATATGTGGGGCTGCGGTACACAATTGTATGTCTATGTAACATTTAAATGGCAAGTGGCACTTGCAAACTTAAAAAAAAATGTTCAAAAAATTTTCTTGGTTTTTGTTGTTGTGTTGAAAATACTGGTAGCAGCCTCAGTCGTACCCTGTAACATGAGTCCGGTACTCATCTGTGTCAGTCAACTTGCTGAAAAGATAATCATTTGGCTGTTTAAATTATTATTCAAGATGTATTTGTCATAAATAATATACAATAATTATATCAATTATTTCAATCTTATATAACGATTATACCTTATTCTGGAATATGTTGTTAGTGGCCTTATTATTTAAGTATATGTGAACTTGTAAATATTCGTAGTTGCATGTTGCGCTTACATAAATAACAGGGTGCCTAAAATTGTTTTTGTTGGGTTAAATTTTTTATTTTGGTAAGTATTTCATCCTAAACTGTACAAATATATGAGCTTTCAATGGCAATTATAGCAAGGTTGATCATATTAATATTATGGTGTCATAATCTAAAACAAAAATTAAAAACATTGGACTGCCATTCTGCCAAGACACACCCATACGTGAACTTGTATTAGGCAGTCTCCTGGCCGTTCTGATTTTTTGCAAGATTAATCAATGTAGATAGAACTTCATAGAATTAAAAACTTATTTTTGTAATTGTCATACAATATTCAATAAAAATGATCAAAGTACTTTCCTACTTATTGTTTTTCGTGTTTGTGTGTAAACCTACATTACTCCTGGCTTTTCTCTTCAATATAGCCCCAGAGTTGTCCTGTCGATGTGCAATGGTCTTTGTGGGACCGTTTGTAGAGTACTATCGGAATCTTACTCTTTAGCCCGCTTCCCAAACTTTTTTCTCTGGGTCTCATGTTGTAATCTCCCACAGTAGCCACGACCTATGTAATAATTTGATAGTAAATTGCACATCTACCAATGTAAAAGCCCCAAAATGTGATG